TGTATATACACGTGTATATATACATATACGTATATGTATATACACGTGTATATATACATATACGTATATGTATATATACGTATATGTATATGTATATATACGTATATGTATATGTATATATACCTGTGACGTAGGCTATTGCCCATGAATGCAGCTCCAAACTGCTTTTTTCAGTTTCCTGAGCTGTACAACATCCTGGTTAGAGTGATGTGGTTTTTCACACTTTTTATCTGAGGGTATTTCTACTGTTGCAACCCACAGAACAGAATCTGACGATCTGTGCAAGCTATTACTAAACTAGAAAGTGCTTTAAGAGCGTCAGTTTCCACCAACGCTGACTAATTTTACTACCTACACTCTTACTAAAAATGTCATTCAAATTACGTCAATCTATATTACACCTGACAGTAAAAAGAAACTTACTCCATTCAGAATCCAATATATTTGAGAGAAATAATGGGGGACCTCCTAAATAATGATAAAAAAAGAGTGCTTTGGTAAATTATGATGCAAATATTCTTTATATGATTCACTATTAAAAACAAATAATCACAAAGCCAATTTGAATAATGTTAATTATTCCAGCCTTTATCTAATTGCAAATCTTATCTTTTGTTATCCCATTTCCAAACCTCAAAGTCATGGATGGGTCTTAACATAATGTTTGACCACTAAAAAGCAAAAACATGCCAAAAGTGCAATAACCAAACTTTGATTAATAAATACAACTTCTTCCTTTGTTTTGAATCTACAGTTAAAATAAGTAACTAAGTTGGAATAGCGTAGTGTCTCTGTGAGAAGAATCAGTTTACTTCTCACTTAAGTCACCTACGTTAAAAAATATAAAAATTGTATGGATGTCAATTTAAAATTGAATGCTGTCTACAGTTATTAAAGTTTTTCTACTCAATCCCACCCTGAGATTTATAAGAAATAAAAAGTCAATACTAAAATGAGTTCACTTTTGTCCATTTCAAGCCACACCATCCTTGAACATTTTTCCTCATTGTTGCTCTCTGATAAAAGGTAACATTTTGCTTTTTAGGTTTGGCAAAAAGTGCCATATACTTTGCGGCTCCATTTGTTAAACTCAAATACAGTAAAAAAAATAATCCGGCAACATTGCGATAAGGTCTTTAAAATAAGATTTGGTACTGAATTTAACAGTTCACTGTACACAAAGGTAGGTGGTACACATAAAAGAGCTGAAACCAGTGTGCCTGTAACTCAAATCAAGACAGCACATGTGCTGCAGTGTTACTGACAACTAAATAAGTAATGATGAAGGTAAAAGAGGAAACAGTAGTTGCAAAATGAAACAATTTCCTTACAAAAGGCCTTTCCACAAAAGCTAAAATCAATCCATTTAAAATAACACATGATTTCTCATCTCATCCTCACCTACACGCACACACAAACACACGCACATACCTCCATGCTGCCTGGGCACACACCAGATCTTGTCACCCAAGGAAATGGGCTTCATACATCTTGTCTGACTGCAATAAAGCAGTGCCTAAGATTCTATTTCCAATAAACGCCGACTGATTGGAAAACTCATTCTAATATCAATTTCCATCTGGGCCCTTTAAAAGGCAATCAGCATAGCTTCATCTCGATATATCATGAGCTCCTTGAGATGATGACACAGCACTGGCTTTCTCCTTCTGCATAATGGCCTTCTCCTATCAAAGCATCTGCAATGAATAATACCACCCATGAATGGGCTATTTAGTCTGTGTTCGTGCAGATAGGGGCCACTTGTCTGAATATTAATCCTGGGTTTTACACTTCATATGGTTCTCTCAGGGCTGCGGCATTTTTCATTCAGAGGAGCAAGACACTTAGTGTGATTTGGTGCACTCATAGTTTTACTTTAAGCTTTCTAGGATGTGACAATGGCAATAACTAAAAAAATTGAACTTTGTTTGAGATGCCAAGCACAAACTAAAAAAGGATTTAAAAGATAATTAATTCAAACTCTTCTAAGCATGTTCTCATTTGCTCATCATTGATGAGGTCAGCAATTAAAATTATTATAAATAATAATTTTGCTTTGACTAGCAATAAAATACAAATATTGTATTTGGTTTAACAAAAAGAAATACTTGCCAACTTGTTGTAAATCAATTTGTCTGTTAGCCCTTCACGGATTAAAAAAAAAACAAGAATGGCATAGGGTCTGTTCACATTTGTCACCAATTTCTGTCCTTAGCTATCCGATTGCAATCAGATAATGCTAAATATAGGTCTGAACTCTTAATCTGCACTGAAAATGTTTGCACTCAATTCACCTCTGGAGGTGGTTTGGACCAGTTGTATCTGCACATGATTGGTCTGTCTAAACAGCAATCATCCTGATCTTCAATGTAGGACCACCTGCTAAATTGACATGACCCAAAACAGACAGTTGAGCAGACATCTATGAGAAAGCCTGTTCACAAACCAGAATATTATTAATTGATAATTAAATGACAATTCTTGGGAATATTCTGAAGATACTACATTCATATTCAAAATTTTACTAAATATTTAAATGCAATATTTATCAGTACCCTTTTAAATTAAAAAATGTTTTGTGTTTTTTTTTTTTTTCAGGATTTTTTAAATTAAAGAGGATTACAGGATGTGGTGTATTTTTCCAGGTTCAAATCTACACACATCAACACAGCTCTGTGAAGTCACTAATAATTTGGATCTTTTATTTTTCTTATTTTGCATCTGTTAGGTAATTAAGTCTATTATAAGATAACCCAACAAAAAAAAAAAAAAAAAACAGATTCAAATGGCTAGTTGTAGTAATGTCAAAATACTATAGTTCAGATGTCTGAATATTTTGAATTTCTTTACAGAAAAATCATGTTTGTTGCTCACTGACTGCACTAGGTGTGATGTGACTGTGTATATCTGAATACAGTATTTTGAGCTGCTTGTAAACAGCCTCATAAGCCCATATTACTGTAATCCACAAATATGTGATTCTGCACATTCTTTAAGTTAAACTACAACCTGTAATTATTACTTCTGCATTTGAATGAACTTGAACATTTTCAATCTGCATAATTACTAGCGTAGATCAGTTTTGTCCTTACCTTCCAGCCACTGCCCGCCTCCCTGTAATAAGGAAAGTTATCACAGATCCACTGGTAGATCTCACTCAACGTCATCTTCTTCTTTGGCGAGCTGTTGATAGCAAACGTGATGAGACTGGCGTAGCTGTACGGAGGCTTGCCATCCTTTTGCTGCTGCACTTCTTCTTGATCCAATGTGGTGTTGTGATCCAGAAGAGTGTTCTTCTTGCCCATGCCGGGCCCGTGGGTATTCTGAGCGTCACTTTTGCGGATGGCTGCTTGCATGGTCAACTGAGGAAGCCAATCCATGGAGGTCAGGCTGCTCTCCAGCTCCGACGTCATGGTGACGGCAGGCTGGGCAGGAGAGAATGAGGTAAGAATGGGGAAGCTGAAAGTGGCAGTTGAAGAAGGTGCCTGATGACTTGACTGAAAGTGCTCCAAATGTGGGAACAGACAAACTTGGGGAAGAAACCAGGACTCCTATAGCTCAGGACATTAGCATCGCATCTTCTGAGTGCCTAGAGACACAAGAGAGAGACAGGCTTTTATTAGTCAAAAATATTTTCCACATTTCATGTTAACTTGGGAAACGAGCAAATGGATAACACTGCAGTTAAAGAAAAAGGCAATAAACCAGTTTTGTCAAGTTTCCACAACATTAAACAAATGTATTTACAAATTATCCTTATATTCTGTGCTACAGATCACAAACCCACCACTTTCTCCACCACTTGCTGCTCTCAAAGCTGACTCATAGCTGCGACTCCATCTGCACAGACAAAGTAAATGCCAGGCAATTGTTTTCACAACTGCCAGCCAAATGGGGGAAAGGCTCAGGAGGAATTCCGACACACTTGAAGTGAGTGAGCCCCTTCTATTTCCTTCCCTGTTGCCTGCTTGATGTTTTGCTTCGGCTAAACGGCGCTTCGGTCACAAACAAACCAGCTATACGGTAGTCATTTTGCAAACTGTCCTCTGTGAGATGTGTGTCAGTATGCTGTGCAGAACGCAGCCAGCAACAACCTGTCTCACTGTCCCTTTCGGCACACGGCCATCCCAGTCTTAAAATAGATGAGCTGCGCAGAAAGGCCAAAAGTTACAAACACAAGAGAATACAAGAATGTATGGGGGTTACAAACAGTGGTGGCACTTCAGGCTGTCTGAAAGAAGGGGTAACAGTAGAGTTTGAGGAATCCACTTTAAGTTGTGGGATTGTTACACTTGACTAAACATGCTCACTATTTGTGTGTGTGCACATGCGTGCGTGCATGTGTGCATGCACGTATGTCTGCTAGAGCATGTGCAAACCTGAGTTTGCAGGGAATCAAAACATTCTTGATAGCATTCCACAGGTCAAATAAGAAATGTTTCAAATAGTTGTGTGCAAAGTGTAATTGTGCTCAACCAGTACTATCATAACAGTAAATTCTTAAAATGCATTTAATTTTAATTGAATACGTTCTGATTCCCTACATGTTTTAGCATATATTGAGGAAAAAACTCCAAATAAATAAATTTGCAAAAGGTGCCAAGAATGCACTCCGAGTTGTTATGTTTTGTATCTTAACAACTTTGCAGATGAAGTCATATTAAAAGCGTCAGCAAGTAACGGAGGTAACTCCAAACTGTGTTGGCAGACAAGAATGAGAACTCACAGCCAACTGTTTCATATTTGAGATTTGGCAATGCTCATGCTTAAGATCTAAGATTACACAATCTATCAATCTTGAAAGCAACCATAGCAATCTTTCCACCTTATTGATTGCTACTTTGTCTGTTACGAACAGTGTTCACATAGAAGATGGGTAGATAGTTGCTGCACTCTGCTCAAAGCTTTTGATCGCACATCCATCAGGAAAATCCAAACAAGAACTGGTTTAAAATTTATTTTTGGTAATTTCTAAAAAAAAAAAAAAAAAAAAACTTATTCCAGACATTACTCTGGCCTCACAGAGGTCCAAAACCTGATTCCTCACGTAAATAACTTTCACATTTAAATAGTTAAGCATGATGATATACATTTTAAAGTGTGATATGTATCAGCAGAAACACTTTCAGCATAACAGGAATGGATCTAATTATTTTAAAAAGTTCGAGAACTTTCTCAATACTTTCCCTTTATTAAAACGGTCTTAAATAATTAGTTGTCATTTGGTACCAATGGGAGTTATGTATAAACCTCAGCCTCATACTTGTAATGTCATGCAATACATAAGTTACATTTACTGCATTTACTCAAGTTTTAAACACCTTGTTATCAGTAAAAAGCAAACTGCAAAAAAATAAAAATAATTAATAACTAAAAAACCTGATGCCGTAGAAATAAAAATGGGATTCGCAAATGAGGCAAAATCTTTTGGCATCAGTCCGACAGAAGCGGTTTCTGGTAGTTCTTTTCAATTGATCTCTCACAGTGGGGGCCTGCAAGTGCCCAGTAACCAATTCAAGATCTATCAGTGTAGACAAGCAAAGCGGAAGATGGCGGCTTTTTGCAAAAATAAACAGAGTTCAGAGAAAGGAAAATACCACATTTGAAAGCAGGAGATCATTAATGGCAAAACTCATTTGTCCCAAATCCTCCTAGTTGAGTTTCATGAATTAATTTGAGGAAAACCACATTTACTTCTCTCCATGATTTATAGACCTGATGGTCAAAATGTGCAACTGATAGAAGGACAGCAGCTTTGGTCAGTATGAATTCATCAGAGCAAGAATTGGGTGGGGGTGATTGTGTCTTGTCAGTAATAAGCATATTTTAAAAGACAGCTGGTTTGATATACATTTCATCATACTTTTACTAAACCCTGGCTAACTAAAGAGTTATGAATTATTGTTTTTTTTAGTTTGAAAAGCAAATTAAAACTTCCTTAAAAAAATGCCTGTTTAGACTTAACAAATCAGACTGAAACAGTGCAATGACAAATTGACAGACTTACACAAACATGGTATAGAAACAAAAAATACATGTGCATTTTTTGCTTTTACTTAATTTTGGTTCAGTCCAAAACAACTTTGTGAATTAATGATTCTCATAATTACACAATGACAAGCAGTCCACCCCATTATCTTTAAAGTTCATGTACCGGTAATCAATAAAAACAAAGCAAAAAAAAGGTTCTACAAAATGACTGGTATAAAATGGAACAAGCAAGGAAAAAGCAAAGAGAGATTTCTGAAAGTAATGAGATTGAAACGAGGTTTGATGAAAAGCACTGTGTCTGTCTGATTTACAGATGCACATTTGATGTCATTTGACCCTTCATGCTAATGATCCAGCTGCTAGATAATCTGCAAGGCCAAGATGGTGTCTTAATTAGAGAACCTTGTGCGTTGGTAGTAATGATAAGGTGTAACCCAAGTAGGCAGTTAGAAGGCTCCCCTGCTGCCTTCATTACTCAGTCTGTGGGGCAGTCGTAGCTGGAACAGGCCCAGGCCTGCTGCTACATTAGGACAGCCCATTCGATTACGGTCATCAAGGGGTCTGTGGGTGGGCAACGAATTGCCCAGGAGGCAGGTAAGATGGCAATAAAAGATGGAACAGACAGAAAAATTGTTGTAAAGGATGCTGTTTATCAGACATCATAAGTAGAAACGTTTTGCATGAAAAAGGTCTAAGGGAAGAGCATGGGTCCATGAGAACAGACTGATGACACAGAAAACACTTTTATTCAGTGCCAGGAAAATATGTTGCACCATTGATATCATCAACAGAAAGAAGCCTTAATTTGTTTTAAGAATAGAGCTGTTAAGAGTGTTTTCAAGGCCTAAAAAAATTAATCATCAAATGTATTCTCTATTCAACACTCGGTTTCTTTATCCTCCATGGATTAATGGCAGATTTGGTTCTGAATGAAGAAGAAAAACGAATAGGCTTTTGAAACATCTTAATTTCACAAGTTCTTGACAGAAATTATCAACAGTACAGCTGCCAACAAAGCACTGACAACAAATCGGTGCTCACGTTTTGTGTTACAGTCACTAAGTGGTTCCATCAGACTGACAGCGTGGTTATTTTCCATGTGCCAGGTTCTCCTTTATTTGAGAAATCCCATTGAGGCATTGAGCTGGGTAACAACCAGGGATTACTCAACACAGTACAGAAGATTACGTCAACTTCATGTTAAGCAAGTATGTACAGAAATGCAAGTCAGCAAGTGCGTCATAAAATCAGTACAGTTCCCCCTCTCAACTACTGCAAAATTGATGTCTGTACTTAGCAAGTGTTTAAAATTTTAGTATGCCTAACAATGCATGGCCCAGGGTGAAATTAATATTTCAACTGTAGTATAACTACAGTGAGTGCCACTTACATTTCTTTAACATTTAATATAACATTAACTAAAAAAAATTATTTCAACAAAGAGAGCTGTAACTGTTTATATCATGAACACAAAGTGATTATTGGACAGCTGAATAACATCTAAATTGTTTAAACTCTGATATCCAAACTGTGAAAATACATTTCGAGTCTTGTTGTCTTTCTATTACGACTTGTTTTTTTTTTTAATGATGTTTTTACCCCGTTAAAACATCCATGTGGTATTTGTAAAAGCAGATAATGATCAAAAAAGGTTTGCCAGGGGTCTGACAGGGGTTTCACCCCTGATAATGCGAATGAAGAAAAAAGAAAGAATGGAAAGAAAGAAGGGGTGTGGTTATATGTAAACAATTATTCTGATTCAGTAGAGAAAAGAAAAATTACATGAATTCATTTTTAAAACTTGAGAAAGAGAAGAAAATGATTCTGCAGTTAAAAAGCAAATGCACATTTAAAAATCTTTTGTACCCTACTGAATGACAGAAAACATGGCCCCCACATAAAAACCACCAGCTGAAGGAAAAAAATTAATTGTTTTTAATTACAGCAAAGGTGAGTATTATATCCAAAAAAGCTATATTGTATCTTTGCAATGGATACAAATAAAGATTGCCAAAAAAAATAATTAAAAATGATCCAAATTGCATTTGGCAAAAAGGTGAAACTAAAACCCATTTTTTACATAGAAAGATGACTTCCACAGTAATTAATGGCACTGGTTGCAAATCAGGTAAGGGGTTTTCATTTTGTTATTTCATCAACAAAAAATGTCAGGACAATGACAGCCAATACTGGTATGATTCTATACAATGAAATACAATATATTTCACTAAAAATTTGTCTTGGACTCAAAGTGCACAACAATACACACATACGTACTGTAGCTCCCCCATTCAATAAACCATACTATACACCATCAAAGTTCATTGTCAATAATCCAGGTTAAAAAAATTCAGCAAAGTTAAGTCAGGTCCTCTGGACAGTTTCTTTTTGTTGAAATGTTTTGTCATTCATCCAAAGGACTTACTCAGTCTGAGGGGCCACAAAAAAACTCAGTCCCATAAGCAGCACACTCACATAGTGGGCCAACCAGTTTGATGGTGACAAGATGGTTTCTGGAGTCCACCTT